GGGTGGGAGGCGAGGGGCGGCGCGGGGTCGCCATGGCGAGCAACGCCGCCAGCCTCAACGCGGTGCGGGAGACGATGGACGGTGGGTGGCAGCGGCGCGGGCGGGGGAGACCGCCGGCACCCGCGGGTCGGCCTCTTGACTCTCCCAGTAGGAGCCGCCGCAGCGCTCCTGCCCTCGCTCCTCTCCGTAGGACGCGGGGCCTTGAGCCGGCTCTTAAATTACCCCACGCTTCTCCTGTAAAGAGGGTTAGGGCTTGCAGGTGCCTCAGGATTTAGTTCATAGCAGATTCTTTTTATTTCATCTTACACGTAACGTCTGAAACACTTCAGGTATTCATGTAGTGGTAGGATCTTTGGACCTCGTGTGACTTTTCTTGGGTTTTTAATTAGCTGTTAAGTAATTAAATTAGAACGTTATTTTTAAATGTTTATAAATACATGTGTTTGCTGGTTTTCATTATTTAGAAGGGTTAATGCAAGAACTGGCTCAGTGCATGGTGGGTTTGAACTGAGGGGGAAGGACCAACCCTGTGGTGCTGCAAGTGGCAGCACCTGAACTGATCTGAACCCTGTAGATGGTTCATGTCAGAAAACCAAAATAAATTACTAAAAAAACCCCCTCAAAATCAAAAACATAGTGAAAAAGTTTTGAGAAGGGCAGCCAGTGTTAAAGAATTAGAATAGTTTCTGATACAAAAAAAATAAAATCTGGTGCTGGTGTGGGATGGGGAATGTGAGAGAAGCAGTGCTGGGAGTAGTGGGAAATATTTTGGAGGTTTATGAAGTCATGAGAAAGGTGAGCAGAGGAAGTAAGGATTAGATGTTCACCTCTTCCAACTGACTATGAGGAATGAAACCTGTCAAATTCAGGAGGTGTTTCTTAGCACTGTGTAGTGTGAAATTTGGGAATTCTGTGGAATGCTTATGCGGAAAGCTTATATGGATTTTAGGTAGAGTGAAAGCTGCCTGGAAATCCGTCGAGGGTTGGGAAACATGAAGACCTTATCTGGAAATGCCCCGTGGAAGGTCTAGAGGCTAGGGAGAGTGTTTGGGGTCGTATTGCATTGTGTTTATTATTTTCTCGTGGTCTTCCTTTGCATTATAGTTATGGCTACTGTTATATAAGGATCCCTTAGCAAAGCTCTCCATGAGTTGAACTAGTGTAAAAATTAGTGGTTTAGCTGCTGATCTACACACTCTGACTTGCTGCTGGAGGTGAGGCTGGACTAGCAGGATTATTATGGCCGCTCTGATGTTTCAAGAGTAAAACCATTCTGTGCAGATGAGAGATTTGTTTGGGAAGGACAGTGAGTCTAAGTTCTTGTAACTGTACTTGACACCTACCTTCTTTCCACTTCTGTGGGAAGGTTTTAGATGGGAGGGACAGTATGTGGATTATAAAGACAAGGCTTTTGGGAACTGCTATGGAAAGTGTACTAGCTTGTAGATTTAGGAGTCCAGGCTTCCTGTGCAATAATGTGTATATTTATTTAGGATAGACATTTATAATTTAATCTCTTCCTGAGTTCAGGTGTTTTTAGAATAAAAAAAATTTCCATTATCATACACTTGATCTTTAAAGATTTATTTAAACAGAATCTGAGAAATAACCTCATGTTTGAACTTTTACTGCCCTTAAATAGTTTGGGGTTTTTTACTGTTCAAAATAACATTAATCTTTTGAAATTTTCATTATAAGAATATTTATTTAAAGTGCTTTGGTGAAGTGATTGAAAATGTAAAGCACTGATAGCTGTGTCCATGTAATAAATTTTTCTTCATGAGGGCCTGTCATAATGAGTAGAAAAAATATTTGTAGAATATTTTTTCAGACTTATTTTAAAATAGAACATGAAGTCAGTGTTGCCTTTTAACTAAGAAATAGGCACTTAATGGGAGTAAATGGCTTGGTATTCAAAAAAATTGTTCTTTTCTATCTTTAGTAGTTTAGAAAAGTAAAATGCTTAATCTAGAATGTCAGATATAAATAATTAGCAGCTGTTCTCTGCAGAATTGTTGTTAAGCACTCAGATTTTTTTGGGGGAGAAACTGCTACCTATCTCTGCCAGAAATGCTGCCTCAACACCTAAAGGTATTTTATATTAGAAACGAGTAACTGCAACTCTTGCTGACATGGAGAATTGGAAGTGAGATTTACTGCTCTGCCTTCAAATATGTCACATGCCTACTAAATTTTGTGGTAACCTTAAATGGTTAAAGAAAGTAAAAATTGTTTATTTCTGGGAAGTTGTCGGTCTTTCTTAGTTTTGTAGCTCTTAGTGACATTTTATGGCAAATGCATCTATTTGTTGTTGCTTTGTCTGTTGAAGATGCTTTTGTGTAGCCAGGGTGTGCATGTGTAATGCTTTTGCTTTCAAGTCAGTGGGAACAGAAAACCTTGTTGTGAAGAAGGCAGTTTCCCTTGCGGCTTGTAGCTAGAGCTTTGGTCTGATGAACTGCTTTTACGTCTTAAACTTGTGCATACTCTTAATCCAATCTGCTTGTGTGCACTTTGAGAGTATTATCACATCTAGAGGTTTTTTTCCATGGAATCTGATATTTGCCTGTAACTTCGGTGGAATTGGCTGGATACATTTGGTCTTTTAATGTCTTGGCCTGGGTTAAGTGTGAATTTGAGGGTGTACTGCAGTTTGTCTTTGGCAGCTATAAAAATATTCTACTTTGGTGTGCCAAGTGGACTGTAGTCACTTGCCATGATGGTTTTACATGGTAAGAAAGACCTTCTTCTACACTTTGTCTTAGTTTGAGTGAGGTTTGATTACAGAAACAGTGTGAACATCTGTTCAAAATCATACTCTATTGTTAAAGGTTCATCTTCAGGGTGGAGATTACTGTAGCAACCAGAAATAAAATCTTAGTGAGTTGTTCTGTTACAGATATAAGAAACTGTTCATGAGAATCAAAGAGGGGCCTTCCAGAGAAGGTTTGGAAGAGAAGAGAGATTGGTCTTTGTTTCTATACAAAGCTGACTGGAATCTTTCATGCTGACATCTGGCACTGCTTTTGATTCGGGTCACGTTAATGTTACACCTAAAGTCAGGTTTAGTTGTGGAATGAGGTGGCTAGAAAACTCCTGACATTCTTTGTAAAAGCTTTAAGAGTGTGATTCCAGTCCATTTTAGAAGGACTTTGTCAGTATCTGCAGTTCAGAAGCATGGATTATTCTTATAGGCTACCTTTTACATAATTGGCAAACATTAATTATCGCATTCTTCACATTTTATTTTTCAAAACCCATTATCCAGTATTAAGTCTACTGAACCAGAAAAGCGTGGTATTTGTGTTAGAAGCTGCAACTTTTAGCTTATGATGGAAAGCTGAACATGAATGCTGGTGTTGCGGGTCAGACTGCAAGAGCTTTCCGCAACTGCCATGTTCACAGACTCTGCTGTAGAATTCAAATGTTGTTGAATAACGTTTTTGATCATTGAAATTTCAGAGCCTGTAGGGACTAAAGTACTTTCATTTTTTCCTCTTGCAGTTCTGTTTGAGATTTCAAGAATATTAAACACTGGCTTGGATATGGAGACATTGTCTATTTGTGTGCGGCTTTGTGAACAGGGGATAAATCCAGAAGCATTATCATCTGTCATTAAAGAACTGCGTAAGGCTACAGAAGCTCTGAAGGTAATGCTTTTGCTTTAAAAGCTTAAAAATTTGTTTTTAAGAATCAAATATATGTTCAACTTGCTATACTTCGATTTGTAAATTGTACTTTTAAGATATGACTCACTTTTAAATCAAGGAAATGAATTGTTCCATAGAAAAGGCAACAAATATGAAGCAAGAAATGCTTTTCAGAAATAATTAGAATAACTCTTTTGAAGGAAAAAAACAGCAACCAAACCCACAGATTTTTGTTCTGGGCATTTGTAGTCACTATTTGCCCCTTATCTGCATCATATCACAAATAGATTGTTACTTTCTCCTTTAATCCATATCACTTCATTTCTACAACTTCAAGCCTAATAGTATGCAGCAGTAAACAGGTACATGAAGCTTGCTAATATAATCTTCACATATCGCTTTTAAGACATTAGCCTCTGCTTTGAATCTCTCCAAAGACAAGAGGGGATTTCATGGTGTGTTTATATATAGGCTTTTTCATAATTTAGCATTTACTGGTTTAGCTAGTAGAGGGCAACTATGGTTTTTAAAAAATCCTTTTAAAAGATTTTCATTCATTACTGTCTGTCTAAATATCATGATTTCTTTTTCATTGTATCTTATTTGTTTATTTCTGGGGAGGTGGAAGGGAAACCTATATCTAGCCTGCCTATCTCTGTTTTGGAAGACTGCACTCTGATTCTTAAAAAAAACTCAACATACAGACTTTTGACTAGATGGATGCTAGGTAGGGCTGCTTTTCACTGGTTTTCAAACTTCATTTAAACTATTTTCTATGCTCATGAGTATTTTATATTTGTATACATGCTTAAATGTGTACATACATATATGTTTATGTGTATGTAAAGTAATTGAGAGCTATTTCACTACTTCCTTTGCTTTTACTGGCTTATCATACCTGTTGCTATCCTTTGACTGTCCCATAATTGGTTTAAAATCTACCAAGTTCAGTCTCCAACAACTGTACCTTGTTGGCTGAGTTACTCAGTAATAAAAATAGTTGCTGATGACCTTAATTGAATAATTGGCAGTGTGACTTATGCAGATATGACTAGTGTAAATAATTTATCTGTATGAGTGGAAGCAGTAATTACTATAAATTTTATAAAGAACTAAACTCCAAAGGGAAAAAAATCATAATTTGAGCATTTCTTGAAAACATTAGGGTAAAATGTATAGGATACAGCTGCTCAAGATACAGGATATACAGTTTAACATAAGCAAACAGTAATGGCTTTGTTAATAAAGGCTAATGGCAGTTGAAAGCATTCTTTTTTAAAAAATTAGAAGTAGTCATTAAAGAACAACACTACACATCTTATAATTTTCATAAGTAGCTTATTTTTAGACTTTTATGTTCTCTAGGTAAATTAAAATACAAGAAGATTAAATTTAATCTACATGGTGTCTACTTTTTGGTGACTTTACATGTTTTTTCTGTTTCTAGGCTGCTGAAAATATGACAGGCTGATATGGAAGAAGATTTTTGTGTGAAAAGAATGCCCAGTTAAAGTGAACGGAAGATTGCCACTATTCTGAAAAAAAGTGTGTGTGCAAAGCTTTCAGAGTATTTCTGTAAGCTTTTGTAAAGGATGATGTATAGGATAGTTTTGAAAAGTTTTTTAATAACATGAATTCACCAATAATCTCATTACTTGATATTTTTGTGAACTATTTGTGAATACAGTGCAATTGCTCTTCTTCGGCTTCCAGTATTTTCTTAAACCATGTCTGGTACTGCACACTTGCTGAACTTACTAGTGTGTGGCAATGAATATTGTTATGATGAGTATCACTTGTTAATGCATCCTTTTGAAGTGCTAATATATTCTGGGTTTTATCTCTTGCTTTGATGAAAAAAACTACATGTACAATTTTAGTTTTCCTTTATGGACCAGATAGGAATGAAGCCCATCCTGATTTTAATTAGATTAAGGGTAGTGATTTAAGTCTTAATCTGAAAGTAAGGAATAAAACATTTTTGATAATGTAGGTAATGAATTGTGTGTTTGATTCAGGAAAAAGTGGGAGTTTTTAACTTGGATAACAAAGGAACTTCAGTTATCCATGCAGAAATGTATATAAATTTAAATTCTAGTTTACATGGACTATTTTACAGAGTTCAGATGCTACATTTGTTACATTTGTTTTGACTACTAGACCTAAAAATATTAAGGCTGTATTGTTACTGCCTAGTGAAAGCATACAGGAGAAGCATCAGATGTGGTTGATGGGAATCAGTGAGTCTTGAACAGTCATTTGGTATAGGAATGTCTTCTCATTCAGCACTAGGAATCTTCACTGATGCCAAAACAAGTGTTTGTAGTATATACAGTAAACTGCTTATGTTAGTATAAATATGCTTGCATCCAAGAATTCTACTTCATTAAAAAATGGTTCCTTGTGTGTTTTTCAGCTGCTGCTGTTAAGCTTTCTTTTTTTTTTTTTTTTTGTTAGTATGGTTTCAAGGTGTAGTATTAATGGGACCTAAAGTAACCTCAGAGGTTAATAGGGTGGAGTACATCTGGAAATGAGCCTGGAATCCTAGTTAAGCCAAACATTATATTTGTGCAGAGAAGAAAAGTTTTTTTCTACTTTTAAGAGTTTATACCATATGTATTCTAGGTCATAGCTCTACAAAAAGTGATCAGGGAGACTAAATACATTATATTGCTGGCAGAGAAAATAGAAAAATATTTATATTACATCAGACTGTTATTTTCAGTTAGCCTGGCCAGAAGAAAAATCATTCCAGGAGGATGCTGTGAAAACTTCTGGATAACCAAACTGGAAGACTTTTAAGTGGTATCATTTTGCTCGCTCAGGAACACTTAAAATCCTTTGTAAATTGGTGTTGTAACTTGAGATTTATAACTTTTCAATACTGGATGTCATGTTTTTTTGAAAACATTGCTGATATCCTTTCATACTAGGGATACCTTAATGAAGTTTGTCATAGGAAATCTGAAAAGTCAGTGAAATACTATGAAAATACCAGGTCAGATCAACACAAATTAGCAGTTAGCTCTTAAATGCTTAAAACCAGCTGGCAAACTCAATATAAGAACAATTTATGTGTAATTCTTGATCTGTTCAGTAAGTTGCACCTACCATTTTACTATCAATAAACTTACCGGTTTTATGCATTTAGGCTTTTGCTGGTAGACCATTTGTTATGCAGAATTATAGAAGCAGGGCATGTTTTTGACATTCAAAACCCTGATTTCATGTATATAAAACTGAAAATGCATAACTTTCGTTATTATAGGGAACTAAATGGTAGCATTGATTATACTTACTAGTTCATATTTACAAAATTAAATGCAAACCTTAAGGTTGAATATGTAACATTTGGGCTGAAAGCAGAGAGGACATGTTTCTTGAAACTGGCAGATCTGTGGTTACCTAGAAAGTCTCCATACTTTTTGTCAGTGTACTTGGCAATGTTTCTTTCAAAGTACTGCATGGAACAAATGTGCTTAGGAATTGGTATAACAGCTCCGATTGATTTGGGGTACCATCCAGAACAATAGAAGAAATATTTTTCTTCCTCCTGATAAGAAAAAAAAAATCCCTCTAGCAAGAAGTTTCATACTGAAAACATTTGTGCTGTAAAATAAGTCTATCACTTTATTAGCATCTCCACTATGTGAACGTGAATGCTCAGGCTTAACACTGATGGCTGAGAAGCCTTGGCTGCATTTGTCACATAAACCACCACTAACTCCTTTTAACTCAGAAGCCAAGCAAACAGCATGTGCTGTTCCACTGGGCTCCTTAACTTGCATGTTCTTGGAACTCATGAAAAGATAAACATAGGAATAGCTGTACAGGTCCTGACCAAAGGTTTTTCTAACATAATAGCATCTTTTGTAGTCAAAAGCAGATGCCTGAGGAAGGAAAAGAACAATGTAAGCACATTTGGTTCTTTTCCTTCTGTGTTCTAGCTTCCAAGTGTCTTCTATTCCAGGCTTTCCTGAACATCATATGGTTTGTCTATTTAGTAATCACTAATGCTTCTTTTTCCAGTACTTGTCCAGTTTCCCTTGGACTATATATGCTTCCTGAATAACAGTAGTTTTTATCAATTGATATCTGTTGCATAAAGAATTGCCAGTTCTTGTGTATTTTGAACCGTGTTTTTAATAATTTAATGTTCCCTGCACAGTAAACTTTTACCCTACCATGTTTGTGCCAGTAGTGGTTCTCCAGATACATAACATTTACCTTTATATATCCTTTTCTGAACTGAAATGCATTAACATATTCCTTGGCTGACCAAAGACATGGAATAGCTTTTGTATTTATTGTCCTGTGAAACTTTTCTGGGTTTAATTATTTTCTGAGAAGGGAACCAAAACTGCATGCAGCATTAGACATACAGTTATCTACCAGCCTGTTTGTTTACCTTGTTCTTTATTCCTTTCCTAGTAATTCCTAATACTTGAATTTTTAATTTGAACTGAACGCTGAGCTGTTTTCATGGCATTATTATAACCACGGATCTCACTTGAGTTGTAATGATAAGCTCGTAGGCTATTGTTTCATGTGAAACTATGGTTGTTTATCTCCAGGTGTATAATTTTTTATCTATGCTGCATTGCATTTGCCATTGTATTTTCTAATTAGTCTTACATGTCTTTCTGCAGTTTTTCAGAGTTTGCTGCAAGTCTTTCTACCCTCGCTACCTTTATCATTGGCAAATTTTGTTGCTTTGTCCCTTTTTTGAGTTAAATCTTGAATAGGTCAAGCAGCACATGACCTAGCAAAGATGGCAGAGTACCACAGGTGACCTATGGCAGGAACTGACTGTTTATTCCCATTCCCTCTCAGTGATTGTGAATAAAAAGCAGTCCTGCCTACCATTTAGTTTCTCATTCTTATGCTATCTTTAGTGTCACACTCAGCATGCCTGTGAGAGCTAAGCACAATCATGAATCCAGTCCTGCAGAGAGCACGGCATTCTAGATAACTGTCAGGATTCCTGACATTTGTAATTCTATAATTACATTTTAGAAATATAAACTTAAATAAGAAAATAACTTTACAGGAGATTGTAGAGTATTAGAAAAGACAAACATAAGATCATGAAGTCTCCATCTTAACATTAGGGAATTTTTGTTTCCTTTTCCAAGAGAGAGGGTGGTAACAGAATTGAAGACCAGTCACCTAGCATCAGGATTATCAAACAGTGAACTTGGGATTTTATCAGCAAAAAATGAAGGAAAAAAAAAAAGTACTGAGTTCCACTTGAACATTGTTTGATGGAAATGGCAGTGGGCTAATTTTTTTATTATGGGATTAGATGTGAGGTGTTGATGTAATGTACCTCAATTTATGCAGGACAATCTTAACTTAAAACACACCATTGGCATCATTCAATAAAAACACATGTATTGTGTTGTTACCTGGTTTGCTGTCTTGTTACCTTGGCAGTGAGATTTGAGAAAAAAAAAAAAAAAAAAAAAAAAAAAAAAAAAAGTAAATACAGAATCTCAGTTCTTAAAAAATGGTAACTTGAGAAGTATTTTGGAAGCATCACAAACCTTACTGTCAGGGTTTTGTGAAGTTGTAGGAAGAGTTCCTTTAGATGCAGATAATAGATTTACCAGGTAGAACTAGTGAAGTAAACCCATAGTGCTGTCTGATGACTGTTTCCAGACCCACTGTTTATACTTCAAGAAAGTGGTAGAGACACAAAGATAATTTAAATGAAAGCCATAAAACTGTTTTGGGACTGGACAACAGGCCTCATGAGGTCTGAAACAACTCAGGAACGTGCAGGTTTTCAAAGAGAAGTTGAGAAGAGACATAATGACCATGGTTATGCCTTTGAACATAGAAGGAAGTCTTGTGGCTACATCTTTTTAACTTGATGGAGAAAATGTATCAGATCTAGTAGATGATATTAGACAAATCATACCTTAAGAATAAGGTGCAATTTGCCAGGAGTAAAGGTAAGTAAACTTTGACATCGCATACTAAGAAAATGGCAAACTAGCTACTGCTTGATGTTGTTGTTAAAATGAAATTAAGAATACTTCTGAAAGACATGGTTTAATCTAGTTTCTGGTGGAAAGTCTGTACTGCCTCTCTGCAGGGTGTCAGACATGCTGGCTGTAGCAGTTCCTTCTGACTGCAGAGGAATTATTAGGAATATTTAGGATGAATATCAGTGATGTTTCTGTCAGTAAGATAAATGGAAGCCTGGTTTCTGAATCATTTAAATGTTACCTGATAAAAAAGCCAAACAACACAACTACTAATTATCAGAACTGGCTATCTGGAATATATTGAGTCTAGGCACTTTTATTATCACTTTATAAATATTCCTGTTTTCTCACCTCTGATTCTTACATGTAAGGAGAGACTAGCTCATGAAAATGGGTATCAGAGAGCTCAGTGGTGTCATCACAGAATCGTCTAGGTTGGAAAAGACCTTGAAGATCATCCAGTCCAACCATTAACCTAACACCGACAGTTCCCAACTACACCATTTACCTCAGCCTATGTCAACCCAACTCTTAAGCACCTCCAGGGATGGGGACTCCACCACTGTCCTGGGCAGCCCATTCCAGTGCCTAACAACCCGTTCTGTAAAGAAATGCTTCCTAATATCTAGTCTAAACCTTCTCTGGTGCAGCTTGAGGCCATTCCCTCTTGTCCTATTGCCTGTTACTTGGTTAAAGAGACTCATCCCCAGCTCTCTGCAACCTCCTTTCAGGGAGCTGTAGAGGGCGATGAGGTCTCCCCTCAGCCTCCTCTTCTCCAGACTAAACACCCCCAGTTCCCTCAGCCGCTCCCCGTACGACCTGTGCTCCAGACCCTGCACCAGCTTCGTTGCCCTTCTCTGGACATGCTCGAGTCATTCAATGTCCTTTTTGTAGCGAGGGGCCCAAAACTGAACACAGGTATCGAGGGGCGGCCTCACCAGGGCCGAGGACAGGGGTCAGATCCCTTCCCTGTCCCTGCTGGCCACGCTAGTGCTGACACAAGCCAGGATGCCATTGGCCTTCTTGGCCCCCTGGGCACACTGCTGGCTCCTGTTCAGCTGGCTGTCAATCACCCCCCCAGGTCCCTCTCTGACTGGCAGCTCTCCAGCCACTCCTCCCCAAGCCTGTAGCGCTGCTGGGGGTTGTTGTGGCCCAAGGGCAGCCCCCGGCATTTGGCCTTATGGAAACTCCTCCAGTTGGCCTCAGCCCATGGCTCCAGCCTGTCCAGGTCTCTCTGCAGAACCTCCCTACCCTCGGGCACATCAACACTCCCACCCAACTTGGGGTCATCTGCAAACTGACTGAGGGTGCCCTCGATCCCCTTGTCCAGATCATCAGTAAAGATGTTAAACAGGAGTGGCCCCAGCACCGAGCCCTGGAGGACACCACTCATGACTGGCCGCCAACCAGATTTAACTCCGTTCACCACAACTCTCTGGGCCCGGCCATCCAGACAGTTTTTTACCCAGCACAGCGTGTGCCCATCCAAGCCACGAGCAGCCAGCTTCACCAGGAGAATGCTAAGGGAAATGGTGTCAAAGGCCTTACTGAAGTCAAGGTAAATAACATCCACAGCCTCATCATGTGGGCGGGAGGAAGTTTAATGCTCAAATGTAACTTTCAGTGAGGGAGATGGAAAATGGTGTAGTGGAGGGAGCAGCACTTGGGTATGCTGAGGTTCCCCAAAGGAGGAGCTGGGACAAGCGGGGTAGAAGGCCATGGGAGGGTGAGGAGGCTGAGGGACATCCCATTTTGATTTTAGTCGATTATTTGATTTGTACATAGATCCAAGATTGCTGTGTTTGAAGTTACCAACAGGTAAGCATTATCTTCTTATTTAATGGGCAGGAGATACAGGAAAGAGAGACTAAGGTTAATAGGTGTAATATTGCCTTGCTCTCCACTCACAGGTTCAGTTCCTTTAACAACAGAGTTTTTTGAATCAGGTAGGATTGTTTATGAAATGCTTTCAGCAATGTTGATGCTGTGCCAGGGTACTGCACAGCCTGGGGGCTACTTGACCGTGGTGGGGCCCCCCGAGCTCCATCAGGGCAGGACCTGGCAGCCTGAGACCAACGCACCACCCCAGCCAGAGAGATGTGGCCAGGCTCAGTGAGGGCAGTTGGAGTCAGTTGCAAGCCTGGGGTGGTCATGCTAAAACATTTTGGACTGTTCCAGTGTTTTTTTGGCCTTGAACCTGGCAATAGTAAGACAATGAGACAGTCGATCCCCTCTGCTGTCACTGCCTCTTGGCACAGCTTGTGAGGACACTACTTGAAGGAGCCAAGTTGTCAGCTATTGCTCCATCTCACTTCCCTAGGCTCACAGAAAAGCTCCTTGTGACATTTCTTCTTGCCTTCTCAGAAAGCTCCTTGGTACACCCTCTGGTTTTGTTCCCAAGGCAGTTTATAGGAGCAGAGGATTGTGAACAGGATGAATTACAATTCTGGGAGGGGAGAGCAAATCAAGGATGGAGAAGTAGTCTCATTCCTGTGATCAATGAACTTCTATTTGATTCAAAGCCTATCATGACCAGCAGGTGGTTATTTACTGTTTGTGATTTACAGCTGTGAAAAACCCAAGATGTTTCAATAATGCGTACCTTACATGTAAAGGTCAAGACTTTTTGAGATATAAAGGTTGCAAGAGCAACATTAAGGAAAATTTATTAATCACCTGCAAATACAGTACTCTGGCATACATAAGATTTAATGAGGAATTTAAAAAATCATACACTGGTTTTACACATTTTTGAAGTGAAGATACAAACAAAAATATCTGAACAAACATTTCCTAGGACATACAAAAAGAAGCCTCACTATTCTCTTAGAGAATATTCAAGATACAGTCTGAATTGTGTAGGATATTGTATATACAGGGATACAGACTGAAGTAAAACTCAGGCTCTTTTCAGATCAAGTGCTTTTCTAATTCAAAAATGAATGTTTTGTTTAGCCTCACTGTTTAGGTGAAATCAATCATCTCAGGCATAGGAACAATTCAGCAAGGTACATGCACATCTATTTATTCCTATGTGTTGTGATGACTGCACTCGCATTGAAGGCAGAAAAATATCTATGGCACATACGCTGATAATCTGGCCTATATTTTTAGCATGGTATCTTGGGTTATCATTTCACTACATCAGTAATAAAGCTGCCAGTCAATCAGTCATTGTCTGCATGTTCTGGTTAGATGGCTTTGCAGCAGCTGTTCCATTTTTAGATGTGTTGGGCCAAATTCACCATTGACTTGTAACCCGTGAAGTTTTATTGAAGTTAGTGAAATAG